GGTATTCACATGTCGATCTTCCTCAATCAGCTTACGCACAGCATCAACGTTTTCTTGGGTGACTGCAGTTTTTGGACGACCTTGACGGTGATCATCACTGAGCTTCACACGTCCACGTTGAAATTCAGCAAACCAGCGATAAATTGTGGTTTTGGATGGGGCTTCATCACCAAATGCAGAAATCATCCGGTCAACACACTGGTTTTGTGTTAAACCACTTCGAAAGTCATAATAAATCATCGCTCTTGAATTTTCTCGAGTCAATTCCATTTTCTCAACGACTAAACAAGTTTGACAAAACCTTGTGTCAAGACCGAGAATCTTTTTTTAAATAAATAAATGGTATTCGATTTTTAAAACCAAGGAGTTTTCAATTAAAAAGATTTTAATATGACAGGAACAGTGGAAATATTTCATTCCCGATATTTTTAGTGCAGCCCTCGTACGTTATAAGAAAGATTATTTCAAATCTCATTAATACGAAGTACCCGGATGACCGAGCTTAGTCCGGTTTTTTTTTGAACTGAACTGGTTATTTGAATAAAAAATCATGAATGCAATTAAATTAAAATTAAAAAATTTTATTAAAATTTTCGTTTTTTTTAAATAATACTAAAAAAGGGTTCTAAATAATAGATTTTTTCACAAAAGAAGGGAACTTAAAAAAAAAGGGAAAAAAGTCGGACCGAAGATAGGACACGAACCAAGGCATTACGATTTTGCGACCGCTCGGTATCCACTTGAGCTATTACAATAATTAACACAGTATCAAAATTTACCTTCTTATATTGTAGCAGTTTTTCATTGCCTGAAAACACGGACAATAAGACATTTTCTGAAAATAAATCCTAGCTAGATCGATTTCTTGCCCCCGAAACTCCCTGAACACTAAACTTTATGAAAATCGTTGGAGCCGTTTCCGAGATTCCGATTATATATATATACAAGAATTGCTCGTTACTGGACTACGGCGAGCTTGAAGAACCTTAATCAATTCTTATGACAACTTTGGAACCAAAATGAATGGCCATATGCATCATATACAATACCCACAACATACGGTGTCACAATTTATATATAAGAGGAAGCAAACGAGCATGCGGCTCACCTAATAATATAAGTGATTACCGCCCTCAATGAACACCTGTAATAATAATAAGTAATCAAGGACTTTATCTATATAATATGTATGTACTGTATATGCGTCTGCTGTATATAATGTCTCCGCCGCTTCAAAACGAGGTACCATGATCATAATAATAAGAACTATGTAATTGCCACAATTATCACCTTTGTAATAAATTAACCTCGTTCAAGGTTATCTCACAATGTAATGTATGTAACAAAACAAACGATCTCTGTGACGTTTTCAACTTTATGACGAAGTAACGCTTTTATACAATAATGATTCATTACGTGTTCTTGTGTCAAAAAACAACCATCAAAATTTTTATATTCCTCAAGGGTTGAATTATCTTTACAGTGATAATAATGATCTGACGAATTTTAATGATCGTGACATCTTTCGATAACTATGAATTTATCAGGATATTACGTCATCTTCTTCACCTTCATCAGTCCGTAAAAGGTGATGATAAACATGCAACAAAAAATAATAATTTAAAAAAAATTTCGCCCCCAAGAGTGGAAAATAGAGGAAAATGATTTACATTGGACTATTGTTTAAGTAATTTTATATGCAATCTTTGCAGATAAAGAACCGTTTTTTAATGATTTTTTTTAAATAGGGTATACTTGAAGGATGATCCCATATAAATTTAGAGAAAAAATTCCTCCCCTAAGGGTTGAAAATAAAGAACTTCTTTTTTAGCAATTTTGAATCGGTTTTTACTTTCTGTTAAAAGTTATAATTGTAGCTTCTTGATAGTTAAGAGAATATCTATATATCATTACGAATCATGAATGTTCGAGAGATCATTTATATTTTGGAAATGAGTAAAGTCTGATGCTTTTATTGTTTGAGCGCGTGTTGCATTGGAGCGGCGGTGCGTAAACTTCCACTCCACCACGTGCGAGGCTAAAATGATAAGAGCAAACTTTAGCCTAGTGGAGTGATGACGAGTTGTTGTGTTTATTTATTTATTTGCTTATAAAATATAATAAAACACTTTGTACATTTACGTGGTAGAGTCACATAGCAGCACGCATTGGTCGACCGGGGTAGGATAACCCTCTCACAGGAAATGTCTCACAGAAGTTGTAAGGCGAGTGTAGAGAACCGAGGCCCTTTTTACTGGTGATGAGACAATCCATCTTAGTCCGCAGGGATCTGCATTTTGATTTAGGATAGATGTAGATGTATATGGGCACAACATCCACTTACCAGCAGGTGCTCACTTCTTACCATTATTCTATTTGAAAAAAAAAACTGTATTAATTCTGTAGTTAAAATACTTACGTCGTCCGTTAGAGGAGCAATCTTGACGTCGTAGATGTCCACTTTGCACAAGAAATCTTTCGAGATGGGCGATATCGTTACTAAGCTCCCGGAATACAAACACTCCAGTTTCAAACAATAATAATATTTTCTCAGCTCACTGACACTGATTTGCAAAGTGACAATAAAACCCAATAGTTTTTCTCGGACGTGAGTTGATTTTATTTATTGTTTCTTTTTGGTTATAAAAACTTTTAAGGTTGTATGATTTAAGACCTTCGCTTGCCTTTGAAAGCGAAACAAAAAAAATCGTATGACAGGAAATTTTACAGATAATGTATTTTGTTACGTATATTTCGATGGCGTGATTTTTTTTTAATTTTTGCTTAATAAAAATTGAATTGCAGAAATATATGTTAGCACAATAATAAAAATAAAGGTCTGTAGCCAAAGTGTTAGGGAGTCGTTACTATTACAAATTCTACAGCACCAATGAATCATTATCATGATGTCTCATATCACATAGGATATCGCGTTTAACCTCCGACATCTCTAATTTGACACTTGCATTGACCCCTAATTTTGTAATTCAGTTACGTCTAGTTCATTTGATTCTTATTTGTCCTGTGTAGATGTGTAATTCCTTATGGGTTTCATCGTTTATAGTTTTTAATTGTTGTTATTATTTACGTTTTTTTTTGTTGTAATTGTACCTAATAAAACTTGTTTCATTGATTTACTCCAAAATCGAATTATTTATTCTTATATTGGTCTATTAAATTCTTTATATCAAAATATATTTATGTAACCTATTTCATTGAATGCATATTGCTGTAAGATCGAGGTAAGTATTTTTTATGTATATTATATATCTTAACAGCTTGAAAACACTTCTACTGACGAGGACCCATAGTAGAGCATGGATATAATATTGTATGTACTACGCACTAGCTTTCGCATTCCGCACACTCATTATGTTCAACTGAACTATATTGCAATCCGTTGTTATTGTGGCTGCCTGCAGTGCGGAGCGGCGCTAATAATAATTTTATATTAAATTAGCATATATGCAAAATAAACGAAAATTAAAAAAAATTTACTCTATTAATAATACAATTTAATAATAAAAAATTATTTACTATGACAATTTTCGCGGTTAATATCAACTGCGCATGCGCGACTCTACAGTCTCCCCCGCATGCGTGAATACAGAGTAGTGCACATTTTTTGTTTGGAATAGCTTCCCTAGTACGTAGTACACACATAACTCAATGCAGTAGAAACAATTTGCCTAATCTCCATGCTTGGCAAACAGGTTTGTGATCACAATGCCAGACTTTTCATGCGGTGTACTGTCCTAGATCTGGGTATTTATTCAGCCGTTTGTATCACGGCATCTACTGATTGCGATGTGGCGATGGATTTTTTCACAACGCCTCCACAATTGAAAACCAATAACTTGCGTTGTACGAGCCTTAAAATTTAAAATTGGGTAAATGACTAGAGAAACCAGTAATGTAGGTAAAACCAAAATATTTTTACGAGAAGGGTTCAAATTTAAACAAAAACTAACTTGGAAATATTAAGAAGACATAAAACTTATAAAATTATATATTTTAAACATATATTTGTTACTTCTTTATTTGGGAATTTAATTATTTGAATTATAAGAAATTAAAATATAAGCAGAAATGAATTCTAAGAATAAAATTATTAAATTAAATAAACCAATAATTAGACTTGCAACGAATAGTAAATTCGGCCATACGCCGAATACCGAATATTCTGCGGACTTCCTGGCTGAATAGCCGAATATTAGATAAAAGTGTTCGGCCGGGAAAGAAGTAGTGTTTATTCTTGAGAGCGTCTATTCTCTGAAGCTGTCTACTAGAAGAAAAGGAGTAAGCTACTGCCTGAAAATGAAGAAAAGTTAGTCTTTCTGCACTATTATATTCCACTTAATTACGATAAGTCGAGTGCATAGACGTTTATCTCGTAGTTCTTTTTTAATTTTTATAAAATGGAAGTTGAATATGTACCTATGACTACTTTAATATGAGTACAAGATTTTTTTTTATAAAATAAATAATAATTTTCATTTCATTTCATCTGACTATAATAAAACCTCTTACTTAAGTATACGGTACTCGCCCAAATAGTACCTAGATATTCGGTAATAACCGAATATTAGTTTTGCAAGTCAAAAAATTTTAATAATTTATATTATGTTGATTGTTCATAAAATAAACAAGTTTTGAAATTTATTTGTTTATTTCAATGTAACATTCTTTGTTCAAAGTATAATTTTATACTAAAAAATATTTAAATCTATGTTCTTAATAAAAATAGAAAAAGGTGGGGAAGGAAAGTTGTTTACGAGAGCTGTTTTAATATTTATTATATACTGTTGATTTATGAGTAGCAGAATACAATAAAATATTTTTAATTTTAAAATGCAATAGACTCGATATTTAAATGTCGTTTTAAAAAGAAAATATAGATACATTTTTGACACTGCGCCAATCAATGCAGGGCTTTCGACTATTTTATTTCGACTCTTTTGACTTAAAACTTAAATTAAAATGTAACTTAAAACTAAAGTTTACATTTCCTTCGTAAAGTGCATAACAGCCAAAACAGTATCTAATAAGTAGACTGCTCCTTGGATGACGCAGAGAGCACCGACCGCCAGGCCAACCTAAAACACAAGGTAGAGTAAGGTTTAATTGAGGCCACCAAAGAAACTACTGATATAATTTACTAGCTGATACCCGCTTGTTTCACTGGGCACGATAATATTTTATTGCAAAACCTAGATGTAAATTAAAAGTAGTAGACTAGCCTTATGTTCTGTGATAATAATATGAAAGATTCTAATTCTCAATCCCCAATCTAAACGTTATAAATTATCTGTCTTACTTCTTTAGCAGATTTTTAGGTTTAATTCTGTATAATGTTAAATACAAGAAAGCAATAAAAATGGATATTATACGTGGTAGAGCCATGCTGCAACTATATAGTATAGCTGTAGCACGAATGGGTCGTCTCGATCGGGGAAGGATCACGCTCTGATAGAATACCAGTGTAAAATAGCAGCTTAATGCTGCTGTGTTTCGTATGATGAGTATAGAGAACCGGAGGCCCTATTCACTGGAAATGCCGCGTTTCATCTTAGTCCTCACGGATGACAACGCATGTGCATTTGAATCTTAATCGAGGATAGATGTAGATGTTTATGGGTCACAGCATCCACTTGCCATCAGGTGGACTGTGTGCTAGTTTGTCACCCTACCATATAAAAATATAAGGAATGCAATAAAAATAAATAAAGTTAAAGTTACAGCCCTTTTACGTCCCACTACTGAGCACAGGCCTCCTCACATTTCTGGGTTTAGGCAAGGAAATGTCCAGCGCGCCTCTAATGCGAGTTGGCGAACTTCACATGTCTTCGGAAATATTTTTTTCCTTTTTATCAGACATGGAGCTTTCCTCACGATGTTTTCCTTCACCGCGGAGCATGTGGTAAATCAGCACTTAAAATTGCAATTAACAATTTCGTTGGTGCTGGCGGGGATCGAACCAGGGTTGCTCTCGTATTATAAAATTTACAGTGAGACCTTAGTACCTGAGCTACCACAGCAAAGAATAAATAAATAAAAACATCGCCGACAGTAAAGTAATACGGACCTGTCGTTCAGCAAAGACGAATTGATACTGATGCTCCCCTTGGTAGCCGCCCCAGTAGTGCAACGCGACAGCACCCACGGCTATCCACAAGAATACTCCAACGAAGTTCATTACTATTTCACCCAAGGCCCTGTAAATACACACGTCCAACTTTAGCAAACCGTCTTCAAACACTTATCTTTAAAACACATGTGTGTTCTTTCAAGAGATTCTTTATAATATGCAAATATGTTGATTTTTTTACTTTAAAACGTCTCTCTTCTTCCTTTGATTAAAACTACTTTTACGGATTTTACCGCGTTTAATTTATTTGATTTTTAATTCCGACGTTTTGAGAGCTTTTTAGCATCCATGGTCACGGGGGACTGAGGTGACTGACTTCCCGATATCAGTGTTAACCCTGTGTACATTTTATTAATTACTTACGTTTTTAATAATTATTTATGGTCCGATCTACGCAGAATGAACTTACTTAATGAAGAAACTAAAAGTTTTATTTTAATATTATTAAGAACAATTAAAAATCAAATAAATTAAACGCGATAAAATCCGTAAAAGTAGTTTTCATCAATGTGTAGTGTTCGTGTAAATATATAAGCGTATTCGTATATATATAAATATATTCGCGTAAGAAATCATTATGTCTTTCTTTCTCTTTTATATTTTTTAAATTATCTAGCAGATATTGCAGTGTCACAAAGTTAAGAATATCCACTACCCCATATCATCCCGTGGGTGTCGTAAGAGGCGACGGAGGGAGATAAATCAGGAGATGGGCAGCAGCTTTTTAATAACGACTAAAAATAAAAATGACGGTTGCCAATCCGCTTGTCAAGCCTGGCAACTATGGCAAATATCGTTTAGAAGTTTTCACTTAAAAAAAATTGACTTACCGTTTATGTTCCGTTGTACCAAAGAGGAAAGTGACAACTTGCACCAGCGTGTAGATGAGGTAACCGACTATCACGCCAGACGCAACTATTTCGGCATCCGGGTTCTTCTCTTCGTTCAGGTTCCACGTACCGCCCACACCGAGGAACTCGCCATTATACCCAGTGCGGTAGAGAACCAACACGATAATATTTAATACCTATAAACAGTAGCATTCATTATTCACGTGCAAAGAAAGGGTGACTGATATCGAACTAAATATACAACATGGTTTTTCTCACAGGTTACTTTTTTGATGAGTTTTGGTAAGAGAAATACAAATTATTGATTTTGATTTCAAATTAATTTAACATGTTTATTCCCAATATATTTTTTCTTTTTTAATATCTTAGTCGAAATTATAGAGAGTCCGTTTTAAAATATCATATAATTAATGAAGCAAATTAAATTAAACAAAATATAAATAAAGGAATAGACATTATTTTATGTATTTTGTTGCGTTTAATTTAATTTAATTTTTTATTCAACTTGTAGCTCTTATATTCGCGTAAAAATAAGAAATCGTATTTTTTTTTAGTATAATGAACAATGAAAGCGTACGTACGGTGAAGAGTTTTAAAATCCACAAGCCCTGCTTAACTCATTAATATCTTAAACAGAGCTAAAGTAAATCTCAAAATGGAGCAACAAAACTTTCGCTCCTCTCCTAAAGTTTTTATAAATTGAAGTAACATGCAAACTTGCAGTCCACCTGGTGCCTGATGCCTGCAGCTCACTTTAAATAAAGAAGGTCACAGATGCTTTGTCATCTCTAAGGACTGAATTATGACGATGATGAGGAAGATGGAATTCACTAGCTCTGTATATCCCATAGACCGTATCATAGCAGTGCAAGCTTTGCTATTTTGAGGCAGAAATACGTCAGAGTATTAACTACACTGGCGGACTGTTGAATAAAAAATGAGTGTTTCCACTTAGTAAATAAATAACAATAATATCGTTATATAATAAAATGCGTTATCGATATAAATATCGATAACGCATTGCGACAACGACAGATGCGTTGTCACCCCTGAGGACGAAGATGGAACGCTTCGTTTCCAGTAACATTGGTCTCTGGTTCACTACGCTCTCCACACGAAACTTTTTTTAGCTTTTATTTCATAGAATACTATAATACACAATAGAATGACTGTCAACCTTACTTTGTAGCACGATTGGCGTCGTCGGGAGCACACATACAAGCAATTACGTCGTATTATCAGTTATCACTACTACAAACACATTTTAGACTTTTGATTAATGTTTTTGACACATAATGTTTTTTTGTTTTTGTTTCTAATATTCATCAAAATATAAATAGTTTCGATTTAATGGTTGTAGAATATGTCTCCTCTATTTAAATTCCATTTTCCGCTGTTATTTCGACACGTAATTATTGCACAATTTGCCATTTTTTAATTTGCATGCAGCGACGCTTGACACGAAAATTGGAAACGATTGATTGTGTTGACATTTATACGTGTGAATTGACGTGTTAGTAACATGTTAGTGGCTACACGGGTTCCGCCCACTCCCCCGTTCAATTATGTATGAATTATAGTATTCTTTGTTTTAATTTATTTTTATTTATTAAGCTGCTATTTAGTAGGGCGACACCCACTAGATGGAGTGACGACCTGGTAAGACATGCAGGAAGTCGATGAATGCAGGTGGCTCAGGACCGTGCTTTGTGGCATACCTTGGGGGAGGCCTATGTTCAGCAGTGGACTTGTGAAGGGCTGTAATGATGATGATGATGATGATGATGATGAAGCTGCTATTTTACGCTGGTATTCTATGAGAGCGTGGTCCTACCCCGGTCGAGTGGATACATTCGTGCTAATACGCGAGTAGCCGCAGCGTGGCTCTACCACGTATAACACGTTATTCCAAGAGTATTTGGAATTTGTCAGCGTGGTAGAGATAACTTCCTCTTCAATTAAAAAAAAAAACATCAAAAAAAATCGTACGTCATGTTTCATAATGAGTCATTCTTAAAAATTCTGTATTTTATTTGATAGCGAGCTCAAGACTTTGGAAAGTAATTTGCATTCTTAACACGGATTCGTGCTATTGACTTTTACAACTGTTTATGTATCAATGATAAGGTATCAATAGCCGAAACGGACGAAGCTACATAATGTGTGATGTCATTCCTATTTAATTTTTTGATAGACTATTGTTATACGCCACAAACTATGTTACCAAATAAGTCATAGTAATAACATAAATATAAAATATAATAATAAAATAAATATGCTACATTCGTTACTTGCCTGGCTTTAGATTTAAAATTAAATCCATAACAACTTTGTTTTGCTTGCTAATGCACTAATCCTCCGCTATATTATAATACACTACTTATATTCATGTTTTTTATGGGAGCTGGCCGGATACTATGGCCTATGAGAAATCCTCGAATACAAATGCTTTGTTATTCCTGAGGACTAAGATGAAATTCTTAGTTACTAGAAAAATCTGTTCTCCCCACTAATATATGAAGTATAGCAGTATCTTGCTGGTATTTTTTGCGAGCGTGATCTATCTCCGGTTGAGATGAATTGTTCGTCCTGCTAGCGATGATAGCTTAGCTCAAATACTTAATTTAAAAAAAATAATTTCAAATTTGTCTTATGAATGAAAAAAAATATCCATTCTTAATCAATATTAAAAGAAATAAATACTTTTACGAGAATATGAAATTTAATTAATATCTAAACACGAAAAATACTATAACCTTATATAAAATTAAAATTAAAATGTATCTCATTACGCACTGGCCACTTACGCGTACCACCAGAAGTAATTTTAGAAAGTTCTTCTTATCTTTCCGAGTTCATTTGTTTTTCGACTATGTTTTAAATGCGTGTTTTCGTAAATGCGTAAAGCACGAAAACTATTCAATTTTTCTCTTTTTTATTGCGTTCCTCTTAATATGTTCATTATTGCGTATTTAAATAAAAACATCCATTTTACATAACATGACACACCTCTCCCGCTTCCTTCACATCCATATATCTGTGCATACAGACTAATTTAGTCTATCTTCAATATATTGCTAATTTGTTCGTTAACCTTCTGTATTGGGCGTCGTGAGATTTGCTGAAACGCTCCTATTCGATTGAACACATACTGGAGAAACAATGTAATACATAGTACATTGGTCCCAAATAAACAAAAAGAAAATCTCTTTCGCTATTATAGATATAATAATAATAATAAATATATTTTTCTTAAATTCATCCATTGATCGGAATGTTCAAGGCAAACGGTTTATTTTTTCTTTGAACGTAGTTTTCGCGTTGACCATGTACGTAGTCTCAGACGAATAGCTACGAAGAACAACAAAAACTACAAAATTGCAGTAAAACAACAAACGGTAGAAGATAAAGAACAATCCAAGGGCAGTTAAAAGTCATTCAGAGTGCAATATTATATTATTTACAATAAATTACAATAAACTAGAAGCATATTTTTTGTTTCATTGCATAATTGAAATGATGAAAATTCATTAACCTATTTCGTCACGGAAATATTAGAGGCAACTTAGGTAATGCCAGAAAAATATGCATGGCTTCCGAAAAATCGCAGTATAAACAATAGGTAAAATTAAACGTAGACGTCTGGGCTACGATTGCCAAACAACCCAGCAAGCATGTGAGATGTTTAAGAAAAAAGTATTTTGAATGCAACAATCTGATACTCTAAATGAATGTGACAATTCATATTCGTTGAATGTTTTGAAAAGTCATACCATTTAGAATTATGGTAGGTATAGATCTAAACCTTATTTTTATTGGTATCAAAATATACCCTTCTTTGGATCTTTGGCTGCCTAGTTGGTCTAGTGTTCGTGGGCACGACAGTTGATCGTTAGATCCCAGGTTCGAATCCAAAGAAATCGAAATCCCGGGGCGGGCCAACATTTTAAGTAGAAAATAAATATATATGTTATTGAGTTGTTTTCTGACAGAAACTCTCAATATCCCGGAGTCAGGAATTTGGCAGTGTTTCACATCTGCGTACCTCGTTAGTCCTGCGCCTGATCTCCCGCCTGTTCGAAAATTTGAGTTATTTTACTTCACTTTTATAAGCGCATTTTATAACTACTTGTACTAGAATTTCAATCATCAAGGTGAGACTGACACTCATTCGACACTATGATCTCAATCTTTTCTACCGACTTCAAAGAGGAGATACTTAATTTGACTGTATGTTATTTTAATTACCTCATAACTTTTTTGTGGGTAAACCGATTTCGATGATTCTCATTTTAATTAAAAGCTGTTGCTTCTCATATCCCTTGTCTGACCAATCGTTTTGAGTTGTTCGGTTCTTGAGACAATACACGATTATTTAAACGCCGCCATTTTTAATCATCAAATAAACATCAAATAACAAGATGAATACTTTGTTTTGTTCGCTGATAATAATACGAATCAAATGATGTCCACCTTCAGATCTTCGAGGAGATGGTGTACTACTGCCCGGCTACACGGTAAGACTAGTGGGTCGTGTCTTAACTAATGTCGACCTACTCCCTGGGAAAATTCTAGTGGTGGTGAAAAAAAAATTAAAAATGAGGGAAAACAAGATGGCCGCCATATCAATTTTAAAGATATAACTTGGCGATAGTTAGGTGGTGCTCAAACAAATGTTGTAAATACTGGCGAGGGTAAAATATTAGCGATAAAAATTCAAGACGGCGGATCTAAGATAGCGATCAAAAACCAACAATGACGCATTAAATGAAATGAACGGTTCATTTCATTTCATTTAAAGCGTCACACAGTTCACATGTCTAGGATAACTAAAAAATGTAAATATATTAATTGTTAAAAGAAACATTTTTAAAAACAAGTTTTTGTTCAAATGCTTTAAAAAGAAGAAAATAAACTTTAAATTAAATCAAACCCATAAATTTATTACATTACACAATTTATATGATATAGAAGCTTGTCGCGATATTTACCTGTGTACATAATACTTTGATATTTACCTGTACTAAATAGGTTTTTAATATCATATAAATTTAAGGTCTCATTTAATTTAAAGTGTATTTTCTTCTTTTTAAAACATTTAAAAGAAGTTTTTTTTTTGGAAACTCTTTTTTCCTTTTAAATTGTTATGGAAAAGTGATGTAGCCAGTGGCATTTA